GTGCCTGATGGCCACAGAAGTATCTGTTTTTGTTGAGAAATCCAAATATCTCAGATGTACTAGTTCTGCACAAAAAATCTATTAGTCTATTTTACATAAAAGTGAATGGAATTTTTACAGGATGCCTTGGAATTCTTCCTGCATTTTCTTGACCAAGTTGAGCGACAGAATTCTGGGAGTTCTGGAAGTGATCCTGCAAGAAGCTTCAAATTTGGTATTGAGGATCGTATTGTGTGTTCCTCTGGAAAAGTTGCTTATAACAGACGGCATGATTACATTCTCTCATTGAACATCCCATTACATGAAGCTACTAATAAATGTAAGATGGTTTAGTCATTATTTCTTTATAACGGAATGTCACCAAGTGACACCATTGTTTGAAATCTCAGATGAAGTTGAAGCCTTTCAGAAGCTTAAGGCACAGAAGACGTCAGAAGGGAAGGAACTGTAAGTGGGAATCTTCTTTTGCATGTTTTTACCATTTGACATTGATAGTTTGTTGCTAAGAATAATGTATTTAGCAGAGACTCTGATGAAATTATCCGGCCTAGAGTGCCTTTAGAGGCATGCCTTGCAAGCTTTTCATCACCCGAGGAGATTCATGATTTTTACAGCACTGCCTTGCAAACTAAGACTACTGCAACAAAGTAAGCGTTCTTCATTTTTCTCGGACTGCAATAAAATAACATTTTGAAAAATTGGTTTTTCCATCATTTTATTTTGTAACGTTGTGCATGCAGTACTAGTTACCAAAAGTTTTTAGTTTATGGTCTATGGTAATCTATTTCATTAAGCAGTCCTTTACAAGTTTTTTTTTCCCTTAATTGAGGTGTTGCCATGAGCAAAATTGAGTTAGTATTTTCATCTTCCCTGCTCCATAACTCTACAGGACTGCAAGATTAACTTCCTTCCCAGACTACCTGGTATTGCATATGCGCAAATTTATAATGGGGGAGGGCTGGGTGCCTAAAAAACTAGGTATTTCACTGCACCTTTCTTGATTTCTTGTTCTCTCTTGTGTGGTCGTTCTCTCTCTTATGTTTTAACTGTCTGATTTTCTATTGCTTAGATGTCTATATTGATGTCCCTGACATCATTGATCTTAGTCAAATGCGTAGTAAAGGACCTCAGACTGGGGAAGAACTTTTGCCCGAGGCTGGTAGGTGGATTCTTCTTGGTATTTCAGTCCTTACTTTCTCACAAATGAATTGGCACTTTTTAGTCATTTCTTCAATTGATATATATTGTGCATGTATGCGTTTGTGTATCTGCTTCTTGGGTAGGAACACTATTTTCAAATTTGATATTGCACACATTTAACACGGAAATTTCACAGGGCACATGATTGGAGGGGTGTGCTTTCTACTTTTATATATATGCAACGTGTTACTGGGGGAATGAGCAAAGAGACATGTTTTGATATAGATAATGAATAGAAAGTATCAAGATGATTAAAAAAAGTAAGGAATAACTGTGCTCATTGAGATATGTGTTGTTTGATAAAGGAGCTTTTTGTGCGGATGACTTATTGCTCATTTTGTGGGAAATTGACTGTGTTGTGATTTTTGTTGAAGAATTTAGTGTTCTTGTAATATAATTTATTCTATTTGATATTCACATCTGCAGCATATTGCATTTAGAATATAGAATTGTATATCATATCTTACCTATCAATATAATATATAATATACGGAAATTTCGAGACGTTTTGATCTCTGTCTCTATCTTGTCAATACTCTAAATCATGGAATATAGTGTTGCAACTTCTGCATCTTCTTAAGAATATGAGATCTCAAAATTGATTGAGCTCACTTTTTGCAACGTCTGATAATGTGTATTTGAGCCCACTTTTTGTCGTCTTTGTCAGGTCCTGAGGACGAGTTTCAATCAAATAAACCTTCAGCCGACGAGGGTATTGTTGCTCAACTTGTGTCAATGGGATTTAACCATCTTCACTGTCAGAAAGCTGCCATTAATACCTCGAACGTTGGAGTTGAAGAGGCCATGAATTGGTTACTTTCTCACATGGATGATCCAGGTATCTTTAAATTATCTTGTCCTGATGTACACCAAATTTCTCTCCTTGTACTTCTATTACATGCACGGTTTTAAGGTAATGTTATGTATGCCTCAAATACGCCATTCATGTGGTTTTTATTGTTTCAGCGCTTATGTTTTATGGCGTTATTTGTAAATATTTGCCATTCATGTACTTTTCTTCTAGATATAGATAATCCAATCTCTCAGAAGGCAGATTTTGTTGTTGACCAAGCAAAAGTTGACATGTTGCTTCAATTTGGTTTTCAAGAGGCCATTGCGAAGAAAGCATTAAAGGCATCTGTAAGTACTTCAAAAGTTACACACACAGAAAGAACCTCTAAAAGAGGGTGAAGAGTAAAGAAGAGAAAACAACTAAAAAGAAGAAACATGTATAGATCATATATGGGTTTTGATTCTCCTTGCATCTCTGATTGTAGGGTGGTGACATTGAGAAGGCGACAGATTGGATATTTAACAATCCCGAAGCTTCTATATCATCAGAAGCAGACTGTTTCGACGCCACTACATCGAGCACACCAACCAACCTCGATGGTGGGCTACCCGATGGTGGAGAGAGTTAGTTTCTTACTCTTGATAATTATTTTTATTTCGTCTGTGGATGTGTTTTCTTTCTGGTTTTCAATCATCTTTTCTATATCTCCCTTTCCAACTTTTCACAATTTCAAAAATTTCAAAATTTCTGGAAACAAAAATCTGGTGCCATGTTTCCATTTGTATAAATGTGATGATATGCTTCATTGTTTTAAGTTAATAGGAAAAGATATATACTTTTGAGTTAACAAGGAATCCTACATTTTTTTTTTCCTCTTTTCTTTTCCGTCTCTAAAATTTGTTCCATTCTTTTTTTCAATTTCCCCCCCTAAAATGTTGAGCGTTATCGATCTAGAACAATAAATGTAAAACGGTAACTAACATCATTAAATGAGGTCTTTAAATGACTTGTTTTTAGACCAAAGCTGTCTCGTTGATTAAGGTATTGATGGTCTGGAACAGCCTTGATATAATAGCCCCTTGCGTTGAAATTTTTGTCCTGTTTAGAGATTTCTGAACAATATTTTTGTCCTTGCATTCGGTGAATTCAGTTTTTATTTCTAGGTCAATTGCATGATATCCCTCTTTTTCTCGAAATGTATTGACGTAATGTTTGACATCTTTACTACTACTAATCAATTTTCTTCTCGTTCGCTGGTTCGATCTGTTGAATTTCGGTTCAAGATCTGATATGCTAGATTGAAATCTGAAGTATTGGTTATTTCTTTTTCAGGATATAGACTTGTGGGAGTAATAAGCCACATTGGGACTTCGACTCAATGCGGTCACTATGTTGCTCACATCTTTAAAGACGGTAGATGGGTTATTTTCAACGACGACAAGGTCGGGGTTTCGGTTAACCCGCCCAAGGACATGGGATATTTGTATTTCTTTGAAAGGCTCAAAGAGTAGTCGACCAATTTCATTACGAAAATAACTTAAGCAGTTGAGAATTCACCCAAATATGGTACGAGCCAAGCCAGGTAGAAACAGGAAATCGTTCAAGATTCACCGATGATCAATCGATCCATGCGATGCTCTATTCTGATGGATTTTGTTTTCTTTTTGGAAAAAAAAAAAGAAAAAAAAAAGGGTCGCTTGCTGGTACTTTAAATTTCATTGCTGTAATTGATGTTATTCAATGTTGGGTGCCTCCCTCCCTCCCTCATCCATCTCCCACATAAAATTTATATACAATTGTTTCGATGTTATCTTTTTTTTTTTTTTAATTAAAAAAATATAATAATAATAATAATAATCATAACGGGCAACAACTTCCCACCAAACTGCAGTAGCCGCAGCCGACCATTTTAATTGCCGTACGAACCGCCACTCCCCTTTCTCTACCTAATTTACCTTCTCATCATTTATTATCTATCTATCATTACTTCCTTCGCCTACTTCTCTCTCTTTCTTTCCCACGCGCACTCCTCTCTCTTATTTTTCTTTTTCCCATTTCTTTTTTTTAAATCATTTTTTATTTTTGTTACCCAAAACTTTTGAACCTTCAATATTTTTTTTTATCTATTTTATTACTAAATTTTTAATACATTATATATATATATATATATTGATTTTTTTAATATTGAGTATAATGACTTAATAGACAAAGTTAAAAGTTCAAAAATGTTTTATATATTTTTTAAAGTTTAGGAATTAAATCGATATATACTTAATAATTGAATGACAGACAAAAATAAAGTTTCCACTCGTAATTATCATAAAACACGACACCATCCTCTCGAATTATTGTTAATAAAAATACAAAACTTTTAATTTATTTAAATTTTATTTTAAAAAAATACGTACCAATAATTCAAAATACGACATATATATATAAATATAAAAAACCAATATTACTAATTTTGCAGCTTAATATATTCTAAATCTAAAAATAAATCAGTATAGTTATTTTATAGGTAACTTACTAAGAATAAAACAGTTGACTTCTAATTACGTTTATTAAATACCTAAATTAATCAAAATTAGTTGGGAGTCGAATGCCTGAAATGGCTGGTAGCTTATTATTCTTTCCCTTTGTTGACGCGCTTTTGTATTTTTGTTTTTATTATTAAAAAAAGATTAAATTAATAAAAATACTTTTATTAATTTTCATTAATACACTTAAAATTTAAATATATTATTGAAAGTATTTACGAAAAAGAATTCAAATTTCAGGAATATTTTTAATTAATTTAGTAAAAGAAATTAACCGGAAAATGTGCGCGTGTAAATCAAGTACCCTAAAAGCGCGTGGGATAATTATTCCAAACAATTCCATCTCATCTGAAAAAAAATCTTACAACTCAGAGCAGCACGGATTCGTAATAATTGCACGAACGGCACTTGGGCTGTCAAGACGTATTTTCCGTGTGACACGTGTCCACCCGCACGGACATCAAAACCATATTCCGCCGTATTTACATCCGCCTCTCGAATCCGCTCTCCGCACCGTCGCCTCCATCAGAGAGGAATCGGCGATTTTCGGTTTGGCCCGGGAAACCTTAATGTGATAGTGTTAATGACCATGACTGTCGCCGACCGTCACAAGCCTCACGCCGATGTGAAGTTCTTCAGGCTATGTTCGATTTGGCAATCGGGGAATACTTCGTCTTCTTCGTTGTCGACTCGGAACATTCACCATACTCGAAATGGACCTAAAGATAGAAATTCAACGGCGTCGAATAACGTGAAGGCTTCATCGTCTTCCATGACGGTTTCCTCTGTAGCGAAGTCGCTGTTGCCTCCTCGGCGTAGGCTCCACCTTGATCCTAACAATTCTTTATTCTTTCCTTGTAAGTTCTTGTTCTCTAATTTTTCTCTTTTCCGTTGCTGGTGTTTAGTTTTCTGAATCGAATTGGAATCTCTCCTTGTTTTTGAGTTGTATTGTTTGAAATTTGAATTGGAAATTGGATGTTTTCTTCAATCTGGATAATGCGAGCCAAAACTATGCTCGTTTGCTCTTGGATTAGAACATTTTACTTTCTTGAATTGAATCAAATAATCGTTCTAGCCTTCGGTTTCTCCTGCTACCATTTGCGGTCAGTTCATATTTACTTGGAGAGCAGGGGAATTACAAGTTTTGGAAAATTGTACGTAATTATTGTTCAGAATTTGCGTTCATCCTGAACTGTGTATTGTTTGATGGATTTTCTGTAGATGAACCCGGGAAGCAGGTAAAGAGCGCCATTAGGATGAAGAATACTAGCAGATCCCATGTAGCTTTCAAGGTATCACTTCAATTTCTTCCATTGCAGTCCTTCTTTCGCCTTTTGTTCCTTTAATTATTCTTATATTGATTTCTTACTTTTTAATTCCCAACAAGCCATAATGGAAACATGAATGCATGTGAATCTGTTCTTCTGATGTTCTTTTTGTTCTTTACTTTGAGACGATGACTGTTATCATGCTGATCTTCCATTACCATTTTCTGAAACTCCATGCATCTTAGTAATTGTTCATCTTCTGGGTAATGAATGTTGTTGGGAACTTTATTAAACGATAGTTTCTGGTTTCAGCCATCTAACAATTGCTTGTTTCTTAGCATAGTTAGTCCATGGGGTCTATTTGGTTTCCTCAATCAGTGTAAATTCTGCATTCAAATTGTTTTCAGCTCAGGAAATCAAGTTTTTCGACCTTTTAATTCGTTAACGACGAGGATTTTGTATCAAATTTTTCAAAGAGTTATTGTGAGATCCCACATCGGTTGGAGATGGAAACGAAACATTTTTTATAAGGGTGTAGAAACTTCTCCTTAGCATACACGTTTTAAAAACCTTGAGAGGAAGCCTAGAAGGAAAAGTTTAAAGATGACGATATTTTCTAGCGATGGGTTTGGACTTGGGCTATTACAAATGGTATTAGAGCCCGACACCAGTTGGTGTGTGAGCAAGGACGCTAGGCCCCAAGGGAGGTGGATTGTGAGACAACGAATGCCAGCGAGGACGCTAAGCCTCGAAGGGGGGTCGATAGTGAGATCCCACATCGGTTGGAGATATTCTTTATAAGAGTGTAGAAATCTTCTTAGTAGACACGTTTTTAAACCTTGAGAGGAAACCTAGAAGGGAAAGCCCAAAGAGGACAATATTGGCTAGCGATGAGCTTGGGCTGATACAGTTATTGCAAGTCTCAACTCATTCAACGATTAGATTATTGAAGTCATCGTATTATCAATCTAGGTTTGGTTTTCGTAACGTAAATTGATATCGCCTGAAAGGCAGGTAAAGGCTGATGAATTGCATACTTGTTTGAATGGCATTTCAAGCCGATATGAACTGCTGCTCATTTCTATGATTAATAGCTTAAAATGTGAGTATCTGTACCATTCTAAATGGTCTCTACATCTTTTCTTCAGTTTCAAACTACGGCCCCGAAGAGCTGTTATATGCGGCCTCCTGGTGGCATTCTTGCTCCTGAAGAAATTTTTATTGCAACTGGTAATGTTTCCACTGTCATGATCTTTTCTCTTTTTGGTGGTAATGTTAGTGTTTTCAATTCATTAATGTACTTTCATTTCTCATTTTTCATGGTTTTCTAACTTTTGATAATAATGAACATCAACACAAACAAGTATTCATTGTCTTCTTCCATCTTTTTAACAGTCTTCAGATTCGTGGAGCACCCCGAGAACAATGAAAAGCCAAAGGACCATAAGAGCAAAATTAAGTTTAAGATAATGAGCCTTAAAGTGAAAGGTGGAACAGAATACGCACCCGAGCTGGTGAGTCGCTCTATGCTGTTTCGAGCTTTGTTAAACTTAAACCTCTCTGGCTCTCTATTATGAAAGATAAGCCAATGTCTTGATTCCTTTGTTACTTGTGTACTGTTTTGACAACTTAAGGTTTCCATTGTGCTAACTCAATGCAGTCGATTTTGATTAATATGACTTTTTTGTCAAACAGCCTCTCGAGTTTGTGTTGAAGATTATTGGGAGTGAGTCCCATATTGGTTAATTTAGTGGAAGATCATGGGTTTATAAGTGGGGAATACTATCTCCATTGGTATGAGGTTTTGGGGAAGCTCAAAGCAAAGCCATGAGAGCCATGCCCTAAACTTAGCCATGTCAATAGAATCTTCAAATATCGAACAAAGAATTGTGAGCCTCAAAGGTGTAGTCAAAAGTGACTAGAGTGTCGAACAAAGAGTGTACTTTGTTCGAGGGCTCCAGATAACGGAGTCAAGCCTCGATTAAGGGGAGGCTATTCGAGAGCTCCATAAGTCACAATAAAGGCTTATAAGTTTGTAGGTTCTATTGCCATCTAATCATTGTACTAGTTTGTAATGGACTTTTTCTTTGGTGGTAGCCGCTGAAATAAGCTATAATAAGTTTGTTTAATCGTTATTTGAAGTTGTACGAAATCGATTCAGTTCATGTTTGTGTTCGATCACTAAAGGATACATTGTGAAAGTTCGAATTTAGTTGTCTAACTTTTTGATATTGACATGTATTTATGTTCTGCAACATTTTCAGTTTGATGAACAGAAGGACCGAGTAATAGTAGAGAGGATTTTGCGGGTCATATTCGTAGATCCAGAGCGACCTAGTGCAGTAAGTAAATCAATGAACACAAGTCTTGTTCTTGGGAGATAGAGGTCCCAATTTAACTGCATTTTGATATTATAGGCTCTTGAAAGACTGAAACGTCAATTGGCCGAAGCCGAGGCTGCACTCGAAGCACGCAAGAAGCCTCCAGCAGAATCAGGTCCTCAGGTTGTTGGTGGTGAAGGTCTTGTGATAGATGAATGGGTACGTACGATGATCTTGACCCGACCCAACCTGACCGTGCATTTTCGATTCGATGTTCATGTTATCAATGTTGAGCTCATCTTACATTCCTATACTGATCTTATAATCCTCTGGATTTCGATTTTGGATCGGACAGAAAGAACGGAGGGAGAAGTACCTCGCTCGTCAACAAGTCGGCGCAGTAGACTCGGTGTTGAGTTAGATTTAACTGTTGCACTACACTCTTTTCAATGGTAAATCTGTACAGGTATTATCATAGTCATCTTCAAGCTCTGGATATCTGGAAGATGGAAGGAGTCTTTAGTTGGAAAGTTCGACTGAGAAAAATAATCCGATGTCGATGTCATTACTAACGCGAAGAACTTGATTGATCGAAAGTCGAACGCTGCTTGTTGTATATAATGAATTTTGGTTGTAAAAATAAATGTACTACTTATGATCATAAGATATATATATGTGTGTGGTTTCATGATTGGAATTGGATTATAAATCATTTTGGATCCATTAGATATGTAATATTGTGTTTCCAAAAATTCCATAATTTTGAGCTTAAAACTAGGTGTTGCTTATTTTGATAATCATTTTATTTTTTATTTTTAAAAATTAAGCTTATAAACGCTCACTTTCGATCTTCAAAAAAGAACTCGGAGTCTTTTTTAAATGGGTTAACTTATGAATACTTCTAATGAAAAATGAAATAGGAATAATGTCTAAAATATAAATTAATTAAATATTTAAAATAAAATAAAATATACTATAAATCAAATTATAAAATTATAAAGAAAAAAATATTAAGATATATTTCATAACTAATATATTCTCCAAATATTATATCTCAATATTCTCTCTGTGAATATATTGTCCTGCTCAAATTAAAGTATGAAAGGGTCAAATTAAAATTGGAATCGGCTTCATTTGTCGAATTAAAAGCGGTGCGATTTGAGCTACTCAGAATTAATTGGGTCACTGTGAGTTGCTCAAACAATCCTATAGCACACGTTTCGACGCCGCCTCACTGTGCACGTTCCGCCACCACCGTCAAACGCCCTCGACCTCCGACCACCACTCCCATGCTCCAAGCATATGCCCATGTGCGGCACATGGTGCTTGGGGCGTGGGGGTGACAGAAGATATAGGGGTACCCCATACCCAACCCATGTAGACTAGTCACTCCCTCTACATTTTGAGACATTTTTTATTTGACAGGACTAGATACGATTTTTCCGAACGGTCATACGATCCAATATAAGATGGCGGAAGTTTTAGATTGTTTTTTACGGTCCAATATAGGATGGCGGAAGTTTTAGATTGTTTTTTTTTTTTTCATAAGCTCGATTGATTCATTAATGAGACATTTTAATGAGTCTAGAAATTTAAGTTTCATAATCTTTCAACCAACCAATTTTTTTTAGAATAAATTGGGAAGAGGTTATTTTGAATTTATATTTATTAGCTTACATACATAAAAACAAAAATATTTGAATTTTTTAGTTGAATTTAAAAACAAAAATAAGTTCATAGAATTTTTTTTTCCAAATGTGTTTGATTTTTTAAAACATGGGATGAAATATATCAACTTGAACTTAATTTTTTTAAAATAATAAATAAAAAATTAAATGATATCTGGAACTTAATTTTTTTAAAATAATAAATAAAAAATTAAATTACATCTTGAACTTAATTTTTTTAAAATAATAAATAAAAAATTAAATTACATCTTGAACTTAATTTTTTTAAAATAATAAATAAAAAATTAAATTATATCAAACGAAAACTATGCAACATAGACAAACTTGTCTCGACGTAACTTATCATATGAAGGTAAATTAAAGTTTAAATGTAGACATGAAGATAATTTAAATCCCAACGATGAAAAAATAATAATAATATATCTGAGTTTAAAATATGTGTATATGTATATATATATAGATTATGTTATCCAGTCTCCCATCTCCAATCTCGGACATAAAAATACCACATTTTAAATATAAAATATAATAGAAAAAATAGAAATGAAATGAAAAAAAAAAAAAAATCACAACCAAAAGTCATAAAACTATTGAAAGAAATGAAGAGATTGAACGACAAATCCTACCAAATAGTTAACGGAGTTAACACATCCTGTACATAAATCGTGGTCGGAATCAAAATCGGCCGCCCTGATGAGCTCCGAGGAAGTCGATATACAGTCGAATCTCGGCCGAATTTCATATATCTTCCGGCAATTCAAAGCTCTGATACCCGAAAATATGATGCGAATTGTTCTGAACGAAGACGGCGACGACGCATTTGGAGCCCTCGAAGCCTTCCCAGAGAGTGAGGATGAGGCTGCCGGAGACGGTTTTTTTGGCGGAGGTGTCTTTGACGGAGCAGAGCTTTTCGAGCCTTCTGACGACGAAATCGTTGGCTAGAACTCGGCCTTTGTTTTCGCCGGCTTGGCAATCGGTGATCAGCCCGCTCTCGTACAGCGCCACCATCACGTCGGCGCCGTCGCTGTCCACCTTCGTCCTCAATGTTCCGGTTAATGTCACTTCCAGGCTGTCCGTCGTTGGCCTCTGGAATGTCCCCTGCGGAATTGTTACCAATGGCTTCAAATGTTTTTGAAAGTATTATATGAACCAATACCAACTAATATTATAATATAAATTATTAATAATTCAATGAAAATATTTATGTTATAAATTTTGTATAATTATTCTTTTGTATTATCTCATAATATATAATATATTATATTATATATTGTAGCGTTACAAACCCACTACCACCTATATTACTGGCTATGTAGGGTTGTCAGCCTCAAGTTTTAAAATTTTAAAACGTGTTAGTAACCGTCAGGGCTCATGGCTCAGATGCCATTTCTAACCGTCAGGGCTCATGGCTCAGATGCCATTTCTAACCGTCAGGGCTCATGGCTCAGATGCCATTTCTAACCGTCAGGGCTCATGGCTCAGATGCCATTTCTAACCGTTCGGGCTCATGGCTCAGATGCCATTTGTAATGGTCAAGCCCATGGCTCAGATGCCATTTGTAATGGTCAAGCCCATGGCTCCGATCTCATTTGTAATGGTCAAGCCCATGGATACCTTCTAATACCATTTGGAGCAGCCCAAACCTATCACCTATCCGTTTTGACTCGTTACATATTATCACCATTAGTCTCATGGATTTAAAACTTTAAAAACCGTGAGGCTGACGATATCCACCGTTGGCAGATGGCAGATTCCGTTGATTTTAAAATATTTGAAATCATGAGGCTGACAACGATATATAACGAGTCAAAACAAACAATATCAAATATCAACTAGCGATGAGCTTCAATTGTTACAAATGATATTAGAGGCAGAGCCAAACACTGGTAAGTGTGCCAACGTGGACGTTAGGCCCTCGAGAGGGGTGGATTATAAGATAGGCTTGGACCGGTACAAATAATATCAAAACCAAAAAGGGTGGAAATATCTCAGTAACAGTACGCCTTTTAAAACCATGTTAGCGGACAACATCTACTAGCTAGAAGTGGATTTGAGATACTACATATATATTTTATATTTTAGATTAACAAAATAATAATAATAATAATTAAAGTTTTTATCTATACGTATCAAATAAAATATTGGCCTAACAGATGAACTGAATAATTTTAAAAAATTAAAAAAAGAAAAAGAAAAGAAATACCTGAAAAGCGGGAGAGGGGAATATAGGAGCATCTTTAATCATAGCAAGCAAACTAGCCTCATCGGTGGCGACGGCCTGTTTCCGGCCTTGAACCACCACCTGAGGAGTAAACATCGTATCCAACCCTAACGCCTCCACATAAGCCTTTTGCCGGACCGTCCACTGGCTATGTCCAAACGGATCCTTCCACCCCATATAATCCCAGTAATCCACATGGTAAGCCAGAACCAGCACCGGCGCCTCCAATTCGAAATCTCCTCTCCCCAATCTCGATATCAGAACTTCCGCCTCCGGCGACGTCGCACACCCCTGCGACGAGAATAGTTCCACCACGACGCCGCCGCTGCGCCCCTGCTCCTCCGCCGTCCCTCTGTCGTTAGGGTCTGGCGTGGCGCCGTTGTTGTCGCCGCCGCCCTTGCCGAAGCATGTGAAGAGGCAGCGGACCATGGTGGCTGAGGGATTTCGCGGTGGGGAGAGGGAGAGGGAAAAGGGGATGTGTTTCTAGAGAGAGATGTAGGGGAAATGGAAGGGATGATTTGTATTCGATTTATTACAGAGCTTTTCTCAACCATTTTGGTGGTCCCGCGGAAATGGCGCCGAAGAACGTGCTGTGACAACCAGGGAATAAAAGGATTTCACAACAAATTTTTTTTTTTATTCAAATTAAATATTTATTTAGTTTTTTTTTATATTCAAATTAAATATTTATTTAGTTTTTTTTTTTATTCAAATTAAATATTTATTTATTTATTATTATTTTTTTAAAATTTCACTTTTAGTCAGTAGGTTAGTGTTAGTTGGGGTGGAGGCGATTGCGTTACCGGCACGGATGTGTCGGTGACAAACCGACGCATTGTGTCATAATCTGATTTGGTCGGACTTTTAAATCCCTGCGAATATCACAGCCTTAAATTAATACCTCACCTGTTTATATTTGCTTTTAAAAACTATAAATTTATATTTGTTTTTCTTTAATGGAAAATAAAAATTCAAAATGGGAGAATATAGTAATTGTTTAGCGTTCCTTTTTTAAGGTTTGGATAGACGGGATGAGTTACATAAATCTTTTAGAAACCATTCGAATAGAGTTCACAATTCAACCCAACCCAACTTTATTTACGGGTCGAATTGTCTAATTTTGTTCAATTATTAAAAAAAAAAATCATATTTATGTATCGTATACTTTGGGGCCAGCGTCCTTGTGGTTTGTTCTCCTCCCCAACCAATGTGGAACATCACAATCCACCCCTTTCGAGGCCCAGCATTCTCGCTGACACTCTTTCCTTCCTCCAATCGATGTGAGACCACCCCCAAATTCACCCCTTTGGGGGCCAGCGTCCTTACGGGCACACTGCCTCGTGTCTACCACCCTTCCGGGAATGGTGAGAAGGCTGACACATCGTCCAATGTCTGGCTTTGATACCATTTGCTAGGGAAAGGTTTCCACACCCTTATAAACGATGGTTTGTTCTCCCCTCAACCAATGTGGGACATCACATCCTTATTCGCAATTTAAATTTTCATAATAATCTTACCAATAAGGTAATGTTGCAGTCCAATTTTCGGGTTGATCCGGTTAACTCGACGAATAGAATACTAACCCACCGCCTGGTTTTAAGGCCTAATCGGAGTGAATTGGGGCAGGGATTGGACTGCTGAAGGGCTCAGTTCAGTAGTGCGGGCTACGATTTGTGGGCCGATTGATTCTTTGTTGAAGGACTAACCATAGCTTCTCCACAGCGGGCTTCGGAAACCATGGAACCGGGCCGCAAGAGTGCTTGGGAGCTCTCCGGGCTCCACGGTGGTGGGGTTTTCTCGGCCTGGTCTGTACC